CCAAGTGTAAGGTCTTGTGGGTAGACAGAAGGAATTCAAACCAGGGCGAGGCCAGACACCTGCACCCACAAGCAACAGAGGGAAGGAGATCCACGGGAACCACTGCTGGTCTCTTCATTAGTGGCAGGTTCTCAGCTTCCAAGGACAGCAGGCGGACTGGATCCTGTCCCATTAAGTCTAGTATCTATTTAATAAGTGTGCCTCATCTACCACCTTGGTGACGTCTTCTCTCTAGATGCATCTGGGGAGCGTCTGGGAAGTTTTTTTATCTGGATACCACCAGGCCAGTATGGCATTAAGAGTGAGCTGTCAAAGCATCCTCTCCCAATGGGGCTGGCAAGAAATGCGAGATCCCCTGACAAGACCAGACGGTCACATGTTGGGACCAGCTCTCCCGCGTCCGTGCTCATGGTCCTTGCTCAGTGGTCCCCCTGGTTCTCTTCCCTGGGGCCGTTCTCACTCCATCCAGTCCAAGTTCCCACCTCAGGGACAGCAGCTTGTGAGGGAGGCTGGCTGAACATATGAACACATGGAAACCCTGCATAGAGACCCAAGCCAGCTAGAACTTCAGAGCACGGTTCTCCATCCTGGCTGCATCCTGGAATCTTGTGCAGCTTAAAAACAAAACAAAACAAAAAAACAAACCAAAACCGCTGCCCTGCCCAGCGCCTCCCTCCCACTGCCATCTGCCAGGTCTGGCATGTTTTAGAGCTCCCTAAGTGATTCTGCCACGCAGCCTGGGCGGAGAAGCACTAATCCGAAAATCAATTCCTTCCACCTTTGCACTCATTAAACATCTAAATCACAGAGGGGTACAAGCGGGAATGGAACGGCTTCCTGCAAAAGAAAAGTCTAAAGCCAGAACAGTCTCTTCTGCCACTGAAAGGACACGCGGCGAGACACATCCTGCCGGAAGAACCACTTAGCCCACCGAGACCGCAATGCGAAGCGAGAAGGAGATGGCAAACCAAAAGGATTCCTACGGTTGAAGAGGGAGAAGGTCAAGGAGCTCCCCATGAAATTACTACGTAGTCAGCTGAATAATAGCACTGCCTATTGGTTGGCAAAAATGTAAGATTCCCCCGCTTTTCGAGGGCAAATAAGAATTTGTTTTTTCCTCCAGGTAATTCCCCCCTTGGCAGGAAAGCTGCTTTGGCTGGCAGGGGACAGGCCGGGGTGAGAGCAGGTGAAGAGGAGTGAATGGGCGTCCAGGGGGCTCCGCTCCGGCGTCAGGCTCCGCCCAGCCTTTGGCTCCTCCCCCATCTCCGGTTCCGCAAAAGGCAAGCTGAAGAATGCAGCCGGCCTCAAGACAAAGAACCCCCGATCCCAACAAGATTTTTCAAAAGAAGAAAGAAGCCCATGCGCAAGAATGACTCTGGAAGGCAGGTCACCCCAGATGGTAAGATCCAGGAGGGCTGGACCACACCTGCTCCAGGCACAGAGAACGTGCTGGTGCGTACCTGGTGAACCCACAGACCAGTGAATTTACCCACAAGGGCTATTTTCAGTCCCTCTGTATTTTCTGGCAAACCCTTAAAAGTCTAAAAGGGTCATATATGGGCTCATTTCGTTTTTATTTTTTTTTTTGTCAGAGCCACAACCGGTTAGAATTAGTGACGGGAGGGAGGTAACCAATCCCTGATATCCACCGCAAAAGGAGATATAATTTGCTAGAAAGATCTAGCTGGGTGCGGGTATCTGGTCCCACACCTCACACAAGACACTGTGCATCGAGCTTGACCCCGTAAGACACATACCAGTCCTTCATTCAAAAGGGCCTATCCTGCCCATTCTACACGCACAAGGGCCTTACTGAAGCGCGCCATCCCACACAGTGAAAATCAGTCTATCCAGCCAAAGACTGCAAAACCGAGGCCGGTTGGTCCTCAGTCATTATATTATTGTTGTTGTCATTGTTAGTAAGAAATTATTATCTTGCTAAAGGTGAAGGAAATACATGGCTTAACACTTAAGGATTCCAAGAACCTCAGAACACCATTTTCAATTTTGAGGTGAAAAAAGCAGCCCACTGTTTCAGTAAACTAAGTTTCTCCATAGACATTATGGCTAAAATGACACCAGAAGTGGGTGCAGACTGGATCCCCACCCTTGGGAAAGGGGAAGCCAGCACACGGACAAGCTTTCAGGCTTCATGTGAGTGAAGCAAAACTGTCCCTAATGTCTGCTGCACATAAAGTTTGCCTCTGTTTCTCGGTCAAGTTTGTCTCCATATCTGGATAGCTGGAGTTCACAGATAAAAATAAATTACTAAAGGCAGAGGTTATGAATTTGCTAATCGTACTGCTTATGCGAAGTAATGATAATGCTGAGATCGCATGGCCTCGTAAACAATAAAGCATTCTTTATAGAAAGAGCTTCTAGCTCAAGCCCTGGATCATAAGGAATGCACCCATAAGGAAGGGCTAAATACCTTCCCAGGGCAGCCAATATTAGAAATGTTTTTTTTTTTTTTTTTTTAAGATTTTATTTATTTATTTGACAGAGAAAGACACAGTGAGAGAGGGAACACAAGCAGAGGGAGTGGGAGAGGGAGAAGCAGGCTTTCCGCCGAGCAGGGAGCCTGACGCGGGGCTCGATCCCAGATCATGACCTGAGCCGAAGGCAGACGCTTAATGACTGAGCCACCCAGGCGCCCCTAGAAATGTTTTCTTTATGTGAAATGAAAAGCTGAAATTTGCCTCTTTGCAAGTTCCACCCAGGGCTTCTGGCCTGGCCTTGCATTGTAATACTAAACAAGAACACATTCTGAGATGTGAATTCAGCTCTCAGGCCTCTCCTTGGCCATCTCTCCCCCAAGTCCTTCAGCCACTCCCTGAATCACTAGAGCTCTCAACTCCTTTCCAACCTGGCTCTGCTCCACTAAATGTGCTCATCTGTTGATGTCCCTTTTCCATGTTTCTAACTTTAAAAAAAAAAATTTATTCACATCAAGGGCTGCAGCAATTGAGATTTTAAACCATCCTTTTGTGGTGTAAGTTAACATGATATGCAGGGCAAACACACTAATTCTTACTACCCGATGTAGGTAGTGGCTTAAATTTAGAATAAAGTCTCTCTTCTTTCCAGTGCCCAGGCACTGTTGAAACCCAGCTGGCCCCGAGGTGGTGCTCACTCTGATGATGCCGTCCTAAATTTCAGCCTGCGATTTCATTCTGATGCCTGTGTCTTCTAGACCACGTCGTCCGGACTTAGAGAAACTTATTTGGGAGATATTATGTCACAGGTAGAAAAGCAAGGCTCATGGACAGTGATCTTTATACGCTTCCCTATTTTCATATATAGATTTTCCCCTGCTCCCTTCAAATTGGTATGTCCGTTATATTCCACAAGTTAGAAAACAGAAGAATCCTAAACCACTTGAAAGTGTCTTTCGGAGAAGGATCTCTGATCGGGGTCCCAATCTTAAACCCTGACAGATAATAACCGAAACAGAAGCCCACCGGTAGGAGGCTTTGTTCCCTGGTTCGCTAAGGTAAAAATCTAAGAACGATGCACACCACCTCCCTGTGGCGAGTTGGGAGAAATGCAGGGCTCCACAGTCAAAGAGCCTCTTGGGCAAACAGGGACACCCTTGCCCCAGACTTCTTGTGTGTGAAATTCAGAAGCAGAAAAGCTATGATCTGACAGCCACAGTTCCCCGAGATGCTAACTTAAGTGTGATGAAGCAATGCTTTTCCTGGGGAAACATGCTCCTGACACCTAGCTAGTGTTGATACCTGGGCAGGATCTACCCATCATGGTCGCGCCTGCCTGGGTGTGCAGTCGGAGTGCAGAGGGGCTCCTCGTTCTTCTATTCTGCTCCATGACACTCGCAGATGAGCCAACATAAGACTCACAGGAGTCGACACACTATGACTACAATTCTTGTTTAGGCAACAGATTTCACCCAATATATATGTTTATCCGACAAGAGAAAAAAAAGTATCCCTCCCCAACCTCGCAATCCCCTGACCTTAACCTCACTCCACTAGTATCGCCAACATTTTAGAGATTCATAAACATACTTTTAATCTTCCCTTTGACTGTTACGTGTGATTTATTAGTAGACATGCTTTTAATGTCAATAATTCATTAAAAGGTAACTTCTCAGTGTAGTGCTTAATATAAGGAAAATGTTTTTTTCTCAGTTTTTCCACTGCCAACCAAATGTTTAATTAAAGCCCTTTCGATGCGAGATAGAGAATTAGACCGTCGGGAATTTATAACCCTGTTAGGACTAACTGTTCCTTTTTTTCTACTCGATTTATTAATAGCGAGAAAGATACAGTAACATGTGATTTGCTGTACCACAGCTTGGGCTTTCTTCTACCGATCTCCATGAGAAAGAGAGACAGATTAGAGTAACACAGTTAAAAGATTTCTTTTTCCTCTGGCAGAAATATAAATGTTCAACTTACCTGTTTCCGTTTAGAAAAACAGACAAGTAAGCTATGTCCAGCATACAGTAAACATACAACTTGGTCTGACATCCCACAGACAGGCGGAGAGAGAAAGAATGGAGAAGAGAATGAGGGAAGAAGGGAGAGGAGGGGGGCACAGACAGGGAGCAGGGGAAAAAGAGACACCTGTCCACCGAGGAAGAAAGGATGGAGTGGCCCCTGGGAGAGAGCCAGCCAGGTGCAAGCAAGTACAGAGACCTGAGCTAAAGGAAACTTTCCTTGTCACACCCGCGGGTCCCCTGAGCTGTAGGCACCCCCTTGGGGAGTCGCTGCCCTCTGAAAGCCATGAGCTAATGAACCGGGCTTCCCAGCCTTCTTAACTGTAACCCTTTGATCTGATTAGAGGGATAATCACCAGTCCCCGGGGGCAGGGGAGGGGGCCATATGAGGAAATTTCCCTCTGGGCCATGAAGACAGTGGCCTGAGTATGTTCACTCATGCACCAGGGAAAACTGAGCTGAGAGTCAGAGCTGGCTCTCGGGCTGACATGTCCCCACGACTGGCAGCCATCCTGGCCCGTGACCCTTCCCAGGGGCTTACCTCCTCAACCATCTGCTTGACTTTCTTCTGCTGGCAATGCACCATGTCGTCCAGGTGCCGGATCCGTTCCCGGAGGCTGGCAGACGCCTCCTCCAGCTGCTGATACCTAACACAAAGAGCAGAGTGAGCCATGGGGTCCTCAACCAGAGCAGCAACACCAGCACCGGGAGTCCCGGCTGAAGGGAGCATCGCCCAGAACACGAAAGGCAGCTCCACCACACATTCTTCCTGCTCCATGAGTCTCCGGGGGGATTCACTACCCGTCGACCACCCCACCACAGGAGGAACACGGGACTCCTACTCGAGCTCCCACTTGCAAGATTTACCTGGTGTAAGGACAGCAACACTACTTTCCAGGGCCTGAAACAGAATTTTGGGGGCACCACTTACAGAATGGGGGGCTCTCTGTTCTGGAGTTAATACAATATTATACACTATACATTATACAAGTCAAATGCCTTGAATTGGAAAAAGGAGGAGAGAAGTCTAGTACAACACGGTATCTGAAATCAAGGGGCCGAGTCCTGGGAAGTCTGGAACTGTAGTTGCCTACACACCATTTATTTTGGGAAACTGGGAAACACATTGAAAGAACTTCTCTGCATCAAAACAGATGGGGCCGCTTCCTAAGACGCTTCATAGTTCTGTCTTAAAACAGCACAAACTATCCTCTGACTTTGCTCGGTTCAGTGAAACCAAAGGAACCAGCAGACAGACTCTTCAGTGCTTTGGGGCCACTGGAATGGAGCCGTGGACAGAGGGTCTGGTGGTCGGCTTACCCCTCCCCTCTCTGCCAGGCTACGTTAAAGTCTACAGAAGACTGCCAAGTCTGAAGTTGCAGAGAGGAAGGAAAACAGACATTTTTCAGCATAAACCACGTGGCAGGCAGCATGCCCCCCCAGCTCCCTCACAGTTAGTGACCCAATGAGACGGGTACTGTCCTCCTCACCGTAACCCCCTCCCCCTTTAAGAAGAATTCTCCATTTGCAGATAAGCAAGGAATCTCAGCAAGGTTAAGCAATTGGCTCAAATTGCTCAAATCATCCCAAACTTGTTTTCCTTCACCAGAGGGCCGTGCACAGCCTCTCTGCCTTCCGATTTCTAGTGGAGACCACGTACTACTCCATTATTTTCGATGCAGGGCTTTATATGCCCATAGCCAGGGCACAAGGCCAGGTTTCAGTAAACAATGTATGGAAACAGAAAAAGACATTTTAAAATTAGTTCCCACTGCAGAAGTATTAGTCACAGCTAATGAGTCTTCTCATCAACAAGGTGCATCCTGTGGAGTTGAAGGTTATGGAGAACATTTATAGACTGAACTTTTGCACCCAAGACAGCCTGTGCTGTGTCTCTCTGCAGCAACAACCAGCCATGGGCTGCGAGACGTGGCTGTGAGCTCCTAAAGAAACTGGCCCCATAGCGGAAGCTCTCAGCCCGTAGTGGAAGCTCTGCAGACTTTTACACGTAGGAGTCTGCAACAGTGATGACCAAATGAAGGAAACTGCAAGGCCCTGGCGAGCCCACAAAAACACAGCATGCCCGCCGTCCACGTCCATTACAAGCTGAAGGGCATTCGTCTTACCTTTCCTTGTCAGAATCCATTATCTCCCCTGACATTTCTGTTTCATGATCCAGGAGCTGGAGTTGCAGCTGATGACGTTCCTAAAACAGACACCGATATTTGAAGCAGTGGGTCCCACGCTGGACAGAGAATGTATATCTAGCAATTCCAGCACTAGTGGGGTCAAGTCTATAGAACTCCCAGTGGGGTCTACACATCCACCCACCAGAGTCCAAACAAAGCTCAAAAATGCCACATCTCTTGGTGTACGTTTACAGATGTATTGATGAATTAGAGACAAATACCCTGGATAAAGCCATTCAAGGTTTCTTTTTAATGGGGCGCCTGGGTGGCTCAGTCCGTTAAGTGTCCAACTCTTGGTTTTGGCTCAGGTCATGATCTCAGGGTCGTGAGATCGAACCCCATGTCAGGGCTCTGCACTCAGCACAGAGTCTGCTTGAGGATTCGCTCTCTGCCTCGGCCCCTCCCCCTGCTTGTGTGCACTCTCTCTCTCTCTCTAATAAATAAGTCTTTAATAAATAAATAAATAAGTATTCCATCCTCTTAGGTTCAGATTTCTTGTGAGAATTTATAGTTCTAAAAAATGAAAATCCATACTCTTAAGTCAGTGGCCTGTGATATTGCAAAATTGATTATTTTCTGCATCTCCGGAATTTGGGTAATATCCTATGTACTAACCTGGGTGGTGTTTACACAGATAGGTTCACTTGTAAAAATGTATTGTGACAGGATAATGGGTGCCCCCCGCCTACAATGATGTCCACATCCTAATGCCTGAGACCTGTGAATATGCTGCCTTACCCAAAAAAAGGAACTTTGCAGAGGGGATTAAGTTAAGGGTCTTAAAAGGGGGGCAATGACCCTGGATTATCCAGCTGGGCCCTTACTGGCAGGAGGAAGAAGCGCTGGAGCCAGAGAGAGACAGAGCCTGGAAAAGGCCACACTGCTGGCTTTGAAGCTGCCGGCTGGAATCCTGAGTCAAGGAATGCAGGCAGCCTCTGGAAGTTAGAAACGCTGAGCAAATGGACTCTCCTCTAGAGCTTCCAAAAGGCACCCAGCACTGCCAGCACCTTGATTTTAGCACTTCTGATCTCCAGGACTATAAGATAATAAATTGGGGTTGTTTTAAGCCACTAACAGTGGTGATTTATTAGAGCAGCCATAGGAAACTAGCACATATATCAAGCTGTGCATAAAGATATGTACCCTTTGCTCTATATATGCAAACTTAAAAGTCTATCCAAAAAAGGTAATGTAAGAATATGGGCTATTATTTCTTCAGACAAAGTGGAAACTGTTAATAAAAGCATAGCATCCAGGGGCGCCTGGCTGGCTCAGTCGGTTAAGCGTCTGCCTTCGGCTCAGGTCATGATCCCAGGGTCCTGGGATCGAGTCCCACGTCATTGGGCTCCCTGCTCGGCGGGGAGCCTGCTTCTCCCTCTCCCTGCCGCTCCTCCTGCTTGTGCTCTCTCTGTCGGTCAAACAAATAGATAAATCTTAAAAAAAAAAAATGTAGCAACCATCATAACCAAAACTGCTCTAGAAATACGTTACAGATGTTGGTGTCATAGATTTCCCTCAAATGAAATTTATCAAAGCCTGTTCACTATATTGGCAGGAGATTATTTTACATTAGGCCCTAAGTACTCCTGTGCGTCATCATTATTCTCAGAAATTCTCCCAACAAACTCTTACTGCCAAATTATTAAAAGCAAATCTTTGAAACTTTAACTCCCGTAACTCCTGAAGTTACAAGCCGTGGTATCCCTAGGAACAGACTGAAGAGATGGGGCAACAATCCGCCCTCTCAGGAAGAGTATACGTTATCATTGATGGATTTAGCATCATCAAGGAAGACCAACTTTTAGTGGGGATCTGTTTTTGCTCTTAAATCTCCCCAGCAAAGACACAGCGTGGTTTGCTGCTGGCTGGAAGTCTACAACAGCCCTGAAATAATAGTGATGGACCTTTCAGAAACGAGCACCCCCATGGCAGATGCCCAAAAAAAGCCATTATAGAGCAGGGTAAGGCCTCACTTCCGGCACACTTTAAAAGTGTGAAAAAAAAAAGATTTTTTTTTTTCTAAATTGAAGTACAACAAATCCTAAAAGCACACTACATGATGATTTCTTACATTTGTATATGCCCGTGAAACCACCACCCAAGCAGACTATCACCTCTCCTGCAGCAGGGTCCCTGAGAGGTCACACTCCTTAAAAGGTTTCTACTAATCAGAGAAAAAAAAAAAAGAGGTGTTTTGAAAATCCAAAAATAGGTACAAGCAGGATAGGACACTGCCACCGTTCACGCCTGGGGAAACGCTGCTCACGGGGTGTGGGAGAGGCATCTGACCTCTTCTGCTCTGAAACGGGGATCTCTGAGGGAGAAGCAGCAGTCAGCTGGACTACCTAATCCTAGCGAAATAAAGCAAGCCTATCTCTCGCCTAAATGGAAAAGAGGATTTAGAGAAAGGACAATCCATTTTCATTCACTACAAAAAAAGCCGATGGGACTTGGGGAACACCGTGTGTCCCATAAATGCTGGCAGGGAAGGCTAGCCCTCCTCCCTCCCCGGCCTCCCGCCCATCACCTCTCACACAGGCTCCATGGGGAAATCAGTGGGGGAAAAAATACTATTTTCAGAATCCCAAGGGTACAAAGAAGATAAGCTAGAAAAAAAAAAAAGTCCAGCTAAAAAAAAGCTGACTCTGGGGGCAGAGACATAGACAAGTCTGTAACAAAATAAAAATCAGAGCCCCACATTTTTGAGCCACGACTACATGCCAGGCACTGGGCTAGGCGCTGTGTGTGGACTTTTTTCGTTTACTGCTCACAGAGCCTTAAGCAGAAGAATGATGAGTATCAGCATGTTACAGAAGAGGAAACTCAGTTTGGAAGAGTCAAGTAACTGCCCACACCTAGAAAGAGGGCAAGATTCAAACCCTAGGTCTATCTGATTCTAAAACCCATATTTTTAGCCACCCCATGGGCAGGAAGTTGGCTTCCTACCCAAACCAGGCTGCCCGCTCACTTTGTGCCTGAATATGGCAGGAGAATCTGTCACCCACAGGGAGCATTCACATGACCAGTATCTTCTGCTGTTGCCAGGGAGAGGGAATATGGGAGACAGCCCACCTAAGTTCTAGAAAATGCCATCACTGCCCAATCTTTACTACCACTGCCAACCAATCCTGATGTTAGTCTTAAGCATGCTGCTTTACCCTCTTCTCTTCAATAAAAAATAGGATTCTGTTTTCCCAAGGAGGAGAGGTGACACTGATGGACTCTTCACTTTGTTCAAGTCCCTCCCAAAGACATTACCTAAAGTGGGAGCCCCCACAAGCCCCGAAGCTCCAGAGTACGAAGTTTCATGCCATCCCCACCCTGGTTACACCCTGCCTCATCAGGGGACCATAGGGGGGTCTTCGCTGCAGACACCAGAGGTGAGGAGACAGACCTCTCTCAGAATCGCTGGAAGCCCCCGTGTTGACCTTGCGCACACTGTCATTCTCCCTGGCTCATCACCAACAAGGGGGTTGCTCAGCATGCGTTACCGGGGGCTCTGATGTCACGGTCTTGGCAGGCGGCCACTGCCCTGCAGACCCACCTGCTGCTGAGAGCCATTCTCCAGAAACCAGCCACAGCCTTGTCCCCAAACTGCCCTCCCCCAGAAGTCAGCTGTCACCTGCTAAAGGTCACCCTGCCTTTTTCTTCCTTCCTGCTTTTTCTCTTTCCCTTCTCCCACCCCTTCATCCCGTTTTCCATGTTCTGCCTAACGTCCGGCTTCCTCCCTTGCTCTCAACTGGCTTCATTATCTCAGCTGAGCTCCTGCCTTCCCCCGCCCACCCCATCCCCACCCACGCCCAGAGAAACAGGGTGTCCTCCACTTGGCTGGCAGATGTGGGGTGTCCAAGAAAAGCCAACCTTCCAGATGCATGCCCACTCAGGGTATGGATGGAACACTTAAATAAGGCTTGGTTACTCAATGAGTAAATGGAAGTTCGTGCTTGGGACCCCAGCAAAGCAGGGTGTGAAAATACTAATTTTTGTAAATAATTATATACGGAATGTTTTTTAAAGCATCAAAATCGTTACCATAGGAAAAATGAGAACTTTGTCGGACCTCCTCACACTTTATTTTATAGCTTTGTGTTTCCTGTTTAAAGTTTAAATCACAAATTGGAGGGACAGGCAGGATGGGTGCTGAAGGCACCTCACACCTTCAGACAGGCCTGCTGGGACTACAGAGAGGCAGGAGTCTGGGCAAGTGGGCGCTGGGCCCAGAGCAGTGTCTGTTACCTTTTCCATGCGCTCAATCAGCCTGTCCAGCTCTCCGATCCTCTGGTCCTTCTCCTCGAGGCTGATCTCTGCCGCTTCCATCTTTTTATTGGCTTCTTCAATAGCTTTCAGAAAATTCTTGGTTTCTTCCTGCAAAAGAAGCACATTGTTCTCAGCACAGCCTTGGAGTCCCGAGGCTGCTAACTATGGTCCAAACAGCGCCGGCCTTGCTAAATCATGATGTCTCTCTAAAAGCACACCCTTGGGGCCTAGGAGTGTAATGAACTCAGATCAGGGACTCCCATGATTCTGATTCTCACCTGGAAATAAACATCGTGTGGCTTTTTAATGGGCCCAGTTCTTTTTTCTCCTTTTTCCCCCCTGACTCCTTATGTCTAAAAAAAAAAACAAGCCTGCAAATGTTATTTCTCCCTTGACTGGATGCTCAAAGTGTCAGGCTGGCTTTTCTCGGACACCCCAGTGTCAGTGTGCCAGTGTATTTGCCAACAATATAAAGGGAAGTAGGGCCATATCTGGAATTGAATGCAGAATGCCTAGACCCTTCTCCCCTATTGCAAAGCCCCAAAACTCGGTCAACCATTCAGCGCATTTATAGAGCTTTAAGAACACAAGATAAGGCAGGCGCGGACTCCCGGCCTTCAAGGAACCCACACTTGCTCCTAGAGAAGCCAGGATGTGAGGTGTACAGTCCAATTCTAGTAACAGGGACCACAGAACGCCACAGCGAAGAGCGCAGAGGGTGGGACTCCCAACACAGAGGACACTTCTCACGGATGGCAGAGACTTCATGCATGGGGAGGGTGGCATTTTCAAGGCTTTGCAGGAGCTCAGGGAGGAGCAAGGGCAGGGAAGGAGGGCATTTCGGGGAAAGGGGAGCAAATGGAGGGAGAAAGGGCACAGCTGCACGCAAGCCCAGGACCAGCCGGGAGACTGGCAAATGGTGAGCCCAGCCAGAGAAGGGGTGTGGTCAGAGGCAGAGACTGGGGGCTCTTCTGAGCAAGGAGGGGGATGTATAGAGGGAGGGAGGGAGGGAGGAGTGGGGGAGTGAGTGAGCCAATGAATAAACACCTTGACCCTCACCCACGTTAGAGCCCGCGGACACCTCCCAGCAGAAACCCTGCTACCTCAGCCTCCCCAGCAATAACGGGGCGAACATCGTCTGTCACATCATCGGCAGCTGTGACATACACACCAGGAGAGCCTCCTTCTCAGCGCTGTGGTTCTGCCGCTCTTCCTGCAGCTTCTCTTCGTACTGGCTGTACAGCCTCTTGGTCATCTCTCTCATCACCTCGGCGTTGGCTTCCTGGGAGGATTCCACCTACAAAGATGCTCGTGTCAGAGCTCTGGCTTTTGCTGGCTCCAGGGAACCAGCACCTCTCACCGCATGTGCAGGAGACAGAGCAGCAGGAACTCATGGGCGAGGGACAGCAAGAAGGTGGGGCTTAGCCGAGGGGTAGAAAGAGACAAAGCGGTACTTTACACAAAGACCCTCCACGTGAGTGAATTTTTCAAAAGACAGAAATGTACCTAAGTATCAGCCCTGTCCCCCCAATTTAGCCACTTTTAAACTGAATTCTCTCAGGGCACCAGCTGTCTCAGTCGGTTAAGGGTCTGACTCAGTTTCGGCTCAGGTCATGATCTCAAGGTTGTGAGATCCAGCCCCAAGTCTGGCTCCGCGCTGGGTGTGGAGCCTGCTGCAGATTCTCTCTCTCTCCCTCTCCCTCTGTCCCTCCCCCATCTCTAAAAAGATTTTGAACTCTCTCTAAAATGCATCCACGCTTCACTGTCTTCTTTATCCCTTTTTTTTAAGGACTTTTCCTGCCTAATGTCTTTTGATCTTGAAATTTTATTATCTTTTATGTCATCAATTTTAGCAAACTTTTTTTTCTGGATGAGATTTCCACAGCCGAATTAACCTCAAAAGAGATGCTTTTTTAATTCTGGAGTATTCTGTTGTAGGCTGACAAAAAGATCACTACATCATTAGAGTTGGGTCGGAGTAGGATAAGCAATAAAATTTAAAAATTCGAAGGTTACCTATTGAAGGAAGGAATAAGAGACAAAAGGGGGTATTACAGATATTCTATTTCTGAATATATTGTTTTGTAGATTTGACTCTGAATTAAGTAAATCGTTTATCTGTTATTAAAAAAAAATGAATTTCAAGAAATTACCTACCAAGACCATTCAATGGGAAAAGAATGGTATTTTTGACAAACAGTGCTGGGACAAATGGATAGCCACATGCAAAAGAACAATGTTAGACGCGTAACACACCACAGCCAAAAATTAAGCCAAAATGGATCAAAGGCTTAAATGTAAAAGCCAAAACTATAAAACTCCTCTAAGAAAACATAAGGTAAATCTTTATGACCTTTGGTGAGGCAGTGGTTTCTTAGGACACCAAAAGCACACATGACAAAAGATAAACAGAAAGACTTCATCAGTATTTAATATTAAAACTTCTGTGCTTCAAAGGATTCCATCAAGAAAGTGAAAAGACAACCCAGAGAGTGGGAGAAAAGATCTGCAAATCACGTGTCTGGTAACTTGTATCCAGAATATATAAGCAATTTTTACAATTCAATAATAAAATATCCAGTTTTAAAATGGGTGAAGGCTCTGATAAATTTCTTCTTTGGACAGATATACAAATGACCTAGAAGTGCATGAAATATCCTCAACATCATCTGTTATCAGAGAACACAAAACCACAACAAGATACACTTCACACTCCTGGGATGGCCATCAGCAATGAGGCAGTAAGAAGCGTTGGTGAGGATGTCGAGAGATCAGAAATCTCACCCTGCTGGTGAGAATGTAAAATGGTGCAGGCATATTTCTAGATTACCTTTCATACAGTTTGGCTCTTCCCCGCCCCCCCGCCCACCACATGCATACATTATTTTAAAATTTTGTTATGTCAGAGAAGTGGGGAGGCCTTTGAAGGCAAGTTGCCCACGTGGAGCTGAAGCAGTCCCATTAATTACACTGGCCAGACAGTACCTAGGGGAGACTTAAGTTCAGCTCATGTAAGAAATCTGGAGCCAGCCTTTCCATACATTTGTGCCTTCCTAAATATTGCATCTAGAAACATTCTCACCTGGTCTGGGGAACACTCAGCCAGGGACTCCTGGTTCCTGTGCGGGCCCAGCTCAGGAGGGAAGAGAAAGTCAGCAGTACTTTCTGGCTTGTCCAGCAACACACCCCTTTTTTCAAAGCTAACTCTTCTTCAGACACACAGTATATGAAATAATAAAGAGAAGAGCTGCCCTGTTTGAAGTGAGGCAAAGAGGAGCTGATCTACTCTTGAGCAATCTGGTCAGGGTGCTTGTGTTTGGCCAGGCAGACTGTGCGGGCACAAACCCATGGGGTGACAATCACAGTGACAACACAGTGTAATGTGGCAACCCCTCCCTCCGTGTGAGGCAGCCCCACACGAAGGGGGACTACATGTCCCTGTGTGTGTCCCTAGCTCAATTAAAAAAAAAAATTTTTATTTGAGAGAGAGAGAGAGAGAGAGAGAGAGAGGGGGGTGCGAGCAGGGGGAAGGGCAGAGGGAGAGGGAGAGAGAATCCTCAGCAGATTCCCCGCTGAGCACGGAGCCCAACGCAGGGCTCCATCCCACGACCCTGAGACAATGGCCTGAGCCGAAACCAAGAGTCAGGTGCCCAACTGACTGAGCCACCCAGGCGCCCCTCCCCCAACTCAATTCTTAATAGCACCACCTTTCACTCCCAAATGTATTCTGGTTTGAGCAATAGATTATATGGATACACTACCTAGGAGGTACTCTCCTCTAGGATTGCCTACTGCTGTGCTGAACACAATTGGAAAGCCCCAGACTTAAGTACGAACAAATTCATTCAGGAAGTAATTTACCGAGTGCCTTCTACGAGCCACCCAGGGGTCTGCTCCTACCAGGGGGTAGGAGATCAATCCAGGCTTCACATCCGGAAGGGACCCTAACACCTCCAAGGCAGGAGAAGCCCCACTGAGGAATAGGCACAGCCTGGTGGACAAGAGGGACACTGCCCGGAGCCCTCGGTCACCCACGGATCTTCTTCCTGCGTGCTCTCAGGCTCTTTCTTCTCACGCCAGATAGAAAGACCTTGAGACGTCAGAGAAAATCTAAATAGTGAAGCTTCTGAAGTCCCAGGCCTGTGGGCACCCCCAGGGCCCTCTCAGTATGTGACAGCGGCGCCCTGACGACGGTCTCAGCGGCCCTTGAGGCCACCGGGGCCGGGGCAGGAGTGCCCGCTGGGGGTGTTCACGGGGCACCCCAATCTAGACTGACAGCAGCGACCACAGAAACCCCCTCAGTGCCCTCAAGCCCGGCCCTGTGGAGTTGGCCACAAAAATGTGGGAAAGGAGATGGAATTACCGAAGATGGGAAGAGAGAGGAGAAACAGGAAAGAAGAGAAGGGTCAGGGGGACATCAGTGCTCCCCCACTTTACCTTCATCTTCAGCAGCTGGTTTTCAACTTGCGCTACCTCCAGCTGCCTCTGCTTTTCCCACAGCTGGCCCATGGATGCTTCGTAGGTCTGCTGCAGATCTCTCATTTGATCCTTAATGCTGCTATTTTCCAAAGTAACATCCACCAGGGTTTTCTAGGGACATGAAAAAGAAATCAAAACCAGATCCGGCAATGTGAGTAAACATGGCCAGAGTCATGCACCGGGACATCCCTTTGCCCTTAACCATTGAGAGAGAGGTCAGGCCCCGGCAGCTGCAAGCCGGGACGCTGGCGTCTGAGGGGCTGAGGGTCACCCCAGCTGTGGGCAAGAGGTCAGCGAGCCTCTGCCCACCCAGCGAGCCTCTGCCCACTGCTTAGGACGGACGGAAATGGCCTAAAATGGAGTCTTTCCAAGGAAAAGTGTTCATAATGCACCATTTCACATAGAAAAAAATTGGGTTTTGAAAATAGTAAGGCTAGAACAAATCCCATTTTGAGAAGGAAAACGTATAAACATTTATTCAAATGTGTTTATGCAGAGAAACTTTAAAGACTAGGATGAATTTCACCAAAATCCAAATAATAGGTTATCACTATGTGGGAGGATTATGGAGGATATCTGTTTCCTTCCCTGTGTCTTCTGTATCTTTCAAATTCCCACAACAAAATCGAAAAACAAAACGTGTTGTGGAGAATGGAGATCTTGCCCTTCTTCCTTAAAGGGGCCGTCACTGCTGTGTTTGTGGACTGCCTGTCAGCACGGGACAGCACGGCTGAGGTGCTGGTAATGCCCGCAAGGGCGTCACCTTCCCCTCTTAGAGAACGGTGGTGATGAAGGGGCACCAGGGAGCAGAGTTTGGTGACTCTGGACAGGTGCCTCACAAGCGTCAAAAGCCTGTTGATTACTGCTCCAGGCCACACACCGGAGCAAGAACGATTAAATTAATACTGGTGTTAGTTAATGCTTTGGGTTCTACTTGGTCAACTCCTCATACAGAGAATGGCTTCCATAAGCCGAATTCTTACCACTGGGGACTGGGTTATGGGCACCATCTACCACCTCCCCAAGTTGCGTTCAACTTTCAAGTTAGACATGGAAACTCTGGTGTTGGACCCATTTTTTAACACCTTTCCTCTTTGTAGATGATCAGTCCCTGAAGCTTCCTCAAGTCCTTAGCCTCCCCTTTGGATAAAAAGCCTCTCATTCCTAAACCTCCTTGAATCAGGAGAAAAGACTTTTGATGGAGGTACACTGACATTAAAGAATATACAGAAGCCATTTGGAAGCACAGAATCAGAAAATATTTGAGCTGCAAGGGGCTTTAGAAACCACCTGGCCCTACCACCCCCTCTCCAAGGCCCGCTGGCTTTACAGATACAACTCTTGTGCTCATGAGCCTACATCTGGACCCAGAGACCAGAGTTCTAATCCTAGCTCTGCTACTTAGCTAGACACCTTGTTCCAGTCATTTCTCTCTGCTGGCCTCAGCCTGTTGATCCATAAAACAAGGGGACTGGAGATCAGCAGTTCCTTCCCATTCTGACTTTCTGTGAAATCAAACCAAGGGTCTGGTCTCACGGTCAATAATAATGAAAATGGGACCGTCTGGGCAATGGGAGAGGTCAGGGCCTTGCAGAATTAAGAAACCAACTATCTTCAGACTCACTTGAATTTCCTGGCTGTGATATGGTGCCTTTCTTTTCTTTTTCTCCCTCTTCTTCTTTTTAACAATAATTTTTAATCTTTTCATGATAAAGCTCCTCGGTCTGCCCCGGGCCAAGAGGCTGGACCATAACTAGCAACCAGTCAGTGTACCTGGGTCACCACTGACCCTGTTCTAACAGCTGACCTCACGGCCTGGGGCGCCAGTGGGATGGCAGATCGGAAGTAATGGTGGGGAAGAAAAACCAGAAAGTCAGTACCTGTACCAACCAGGTCTGAGCTCAGGGGAGGTGCAGCATCTCCCAGTTAGCCAGGAGTGAGAAGATGCCCCAGAGAGAAGGAAAGGGAGCCTGGCCAACCCCTCTGGATGGCAGCAGGAAGGGAAAGCCAAGGCTACTGACTAAACCAGACCCAGAGCAGGGCCAGGCTGGAGGCCAGGGGAAACCGGGCGTGCACTAAGAAGGAGCAGGAAAAGGGAGAGGCTCCGAGACCGCACCAGAAATGGCCTCCCAGCCACAGGGGCCCACTGCTGCGCCCACTCTGTGGTTGGCACTGCTGCTCTAACAGCTGTTACTGGACAACATTAGGTTCATGGGGAAGGGGATGATCCCAACATGAAAATCTGTTTATCTGACGAGTCATTTGTGTAGAACTGGGAAGGACAGTAATAGCCGTGGGACCTTTAAGAGGAGAGTAAAAAGATAAGAGCCAAATGAACTTGGAGGAGAGGCAGAAACAATTGTTTGCATATCTGGAAACTAAAGCCAAGGAAGCTGTTTCTGGTGAATGTAACACTCTGTCCTGAACACTTCCTGGTTAATTTGCATAGGAGACGCAGGACTCAGCCAGAAGGGTGACAAGCGGGTGGCACTGGCCTGGTGAGCTCCCAGCAAATCAGATTACTCAAGAGAGCAATCGGAAGCAGAAGTGGATTGACAACACACATCTGGAGGATCCTGAGTCTCTGTTTCCCTGTTGGCATGCATAGGATATCTTTTCTTGCGAAATAATTTCTAAGTTAGGCAAACGTGCTTCACAGCCTCTGGGAGCTCCTTGCCACGCAGGACTACAGACCGCCTGTGATTAAGTCTGTCTGTCCCGTGCCTGGGTGGGGCTTCCTGAAACCGGGGCTGCAAGGAGCAGGGGATGATGTGCTGTTCTAGGCACTGACACTTACGACCCACTTGGGTATCCGCTGGAGAAAGGGCTGCCTCTAGCATGGAGCTCAGGATCTAAACTCCCATTTTAACAAAGGCAAAAACAAATTCAACTCAAAGGTTGAGAGCCTCTGCTTGGAAGCACTTCCTTTCATTTCCTTCATGTCCTGGCGGGGTCTTTACTGTGGCCATGCCTGAAGGATCCCGCATAATGTTCTGAAGACATCCCGTGACTTGCTTTTCTACAAAGGCACAGGGCCCACACCTGGTGAGGCGTGCCTGCCCCGCAACAGAGGGCCCCCAGGCTAACGGTGAGCAGATGAGTACCTGCAGGCCGATGGAGTCAGACGTTAAGGCTGAGTTCGTGGCATTGAAACTGTCCAGGGCCGACGACTGTGTCTGGACATGATTCTCGAGATATTCCTGCCGAGCCTGGGAAGCCTGGGCAGAGGATGAGGTAGTTACACAAAACCATATATACCCGCAACAAGCTTCAGTTAGGCTAGGACCTTCTCCTGATAGTTCAAGTAGAGCTTAAGATTACAAAGTCAACATCTGCATGACCCGGAGAGGGGAAAGACATGAACACTTTTCCTTCACATGTCCCCCCGCAGGGCCTCGCTTGGTCCTCACAACGCATGCGGCAGCCAGAACACCCCCCTTTATATGGTGGAGGAAACCGAATCCGAGGAGGTCAGGGATTTGCGCACCAGCAGCTGAGAAGAGGCCCTGCTGCGCCTAGGACCCAGTTGGAACATCTTCTCCTGCCATCTAGCTTTTCTTACTCATCACAGAAAGAACACACGTGGGGCTCATGCCCTTCTCGAGCGCGTTATGGGGCCGCCGCTGCTGTTGTGTGGTCTTTGCTGGGTGTGCGTGTTTAGCACGTTGGAGACGCTTTCATCAGAGAGAGTTCCAGCAGTGTCATGCCAGACGTGCAAGAAGGGCTGGCTATACCGCAGCAGGAGGCAGGGGAAGTAGAGGTAAGGGCTCGGGGTAGGCTCAAGGGTGGACGCCCGTGGGGTGTGTGGGCCCACGGAACGGGCGGTGGCCTGTGTGGGGGGACTTGTCCCTGCGGGCCGGTGAGAACAGGCTGGGCTGGGCGGCTGTGGCGCGTTTATCCGCCCCCACCCCTATAATCAAGGCCCTGGCTCTTGCTTCAGCAGATCACCGCCCACCCAAGCCACGCACCAAACTCTAAGGCAAGACTGTTGCAACCGTGCTTCCTTCCTGCAGCTATTTACCTTTATGGAAAGTGTGTCATATGTACGTGCACTTTTTTTGCTTCAACATTATGAATCACAAGTATAAAAAAAAATTTTCTTTCCTCACAGGCATTAGCTTGTTTAAACCAGAGAAATGTTATTTTTTCTTAAATTCAAAAGTAATACCTTCATGTAGTTCAAACGTTTACAAAATATAAAAGGTAGACACTAAAATAAATCAATCACTCCTGTCCCATCTGCTCAGGTACCACCTTGCCCGCTCTGCCCCTCAACTAAGAATCACGGTTAATTGGTTTCTTGATTATCCTTCTAGTAACTACTTTTGCACCCACAGAACTATCTAACCATACTTATTTTCCCCTCCTGTTTTACACAAGTGGTAGCTCACGTACATATTTCCTTGTATCTCTTTTTGTTTGTTTACCATTTACTCTGTATCTTTGAGATCTTTCCGTATCTCTTTCTGAGGAGCTTACTTGCTCTTTTTATTCTTACCTCCCCCTCTCCCATTCCCTCCTCCTCATTTTTTTTAAAGATTTATTTTTAGAGAGAGAATGGGGGACGGGGGAGCAAAGGGAGAGAGACTTAAGCCTTAAGCACACTCCACACACAGCGCAGAGCCTGACACAGGGCTCGATCCCACAACTCTGAGATCACGACCTGAGCAGAAATCAAGAGTCTGATGCTCAGCTGACTGAGCTACCCGCGAGCCCCCTTCTTTTTTTTTTTTTAAGATTTTTTTTTTTATTTGACAGAGAGAGAGACAATGAGAGAGGGAACACAAGCAGGGGGAGTGGGAGAGGGAGAGGCAGGCTTCCTGCCGAGCAGGGAGCCCGATGCGGGGCTCGATCCCAGGACCCTGGGACCATGACCTGAGCTGAAGGCAGACGCTTAACGACTGAGCCACCCAAGTGCCCCTTACTTTCCCCTTCTTGATGAACATTTAGGTCTCCAATCTTGTTACTGTTGCAAACAATGCTGTGATAACTAAGCTCATACATACCTCATTTCACATGTGAGAGTTTATAGAATACATTCTTCAGAACAGAATTGCTAAGTCACAGGATAGAGGCCTTTGCAGTTATGTAGATACTGCCAAACTGCTCACCCTCAGAGGGATTCAGAATTACGTCCTACCCGGCCATCCGCCTGTTCTCCACAGCACTGCTAGTTGTGTCTTGTCCACTCCTACAGGGATGCCAGTCTCATAGGTAAAAATTACATCTCAGGATGGTTTGACTGACTTTCTCTTACTGAGAATGAGGCAGAGCATCCTGTCAGACATTTAAGAGCTCTTCATCCTTCTTTTACTATAAGTTATCTGTAACAAATATTTTCCCTATTTTTATGAGTTGTGGCCTTTTCTTGTTGATGTCTGTACACTCTTTAAATATTCAGAAAATTAGCCTGTTATCTAGGATATGAAGGGCAAATCATTTTTGCTAGGTTTCTCATTGGACTTTGGTGTTTTTGCCAGCACACAGCTTTCATTTCAGTGTAGTCAAAGTTATGAAACTTTTCTTTTGCGGTTTTGGGATTTCATGTCAGAGTGACAGAAAGCCTTCCCCATCCCAAGAGTATAAAAGAACTCACAGAAGTTTTCTTCTGGCACTTTTAAATGTCATCTTCAGAATTTAAGTCTTTGATCTCTTTGGAATTCCTCCAGATATAAGTCTGTCATGACAGCATATAAGTTGTCCCCATAGCATACACTGACTTGTCCATTTCCCCGCCTTTATTTGAGTTGCTACCTTTATCATATATTGGTGTACATTTCTGGGCTTTTTTCATGGATGCTTATTTATTTATGTGTCAATATGATACTGTCCTAATCTTTGAGGCTCTCTCAGTTTCTTGTAATATTAGTAGAGCTAGTCTTCCTCATTGCATTTTTTTCCCAGAATTTCCTCAACTCTTCATATTTATTTTCTGTATACTTTGGAATCTTCTAGTCCAGTTGTAGAAACAGCAGAAAAATCTCTTGGCACTTTTATGGAGTTACATTACATTCATACATTAACCTGAACAGTACTCACATCTTACGAAGTTGGCGCTTCCTGTCTAAGCACATGGTATGTCTTTCCTCTCGGTACAGTTTACTCCTAGATATTTGGTAGTTTTCTATTGTTCTTATTTCTTCTTACCAGTTATTTTTCGTATACTGAAATCTATTTGTTTGTATCTATTAATTTTTTTACCCTGCTACCTTACAAAATTGTTTTTTATAGTTTTTTTTTCATTCGTTCACTTGTGCTTTTTGGGTATATAGTCATATAGTTTGTAACAGTGACAGTTTTACATCTACCTGTCCAGTTTTTATACCTCTAAATTCATTTCTCTTATTTAATTCCATTGGCTAGTCTCTCAGGTACAACAGTAAATAGTAACGATGATAGCTAGCTTCCTCATCTTATCCTGACTGTGGAGGGAATGCTTTGAACGTAAAGATTATTCTTGCCACAAAAACATCCCTTTAAATAATAAACTTAATTCTGTGATAGAATTCCCTCAGTTCATTTAAAATATGATTCCACTCGCAAAGAACATCATAAACTCAAATATGTTCAGACACCAGCCACTCAGAGGGAGTGCTAAGCCCTACCACCCCTCCATATTTCCAAGTCACTGAGATATTCACTTACTGACAATTCCTGGGTGAGCTGTCGAATCTTCTGTCTCATTTCATCATAGTCTCCATACATTCGCTTCCTTACTTTTTCCAAAGTGGCTCTCACCTGCAGCCCACAGAGACGCTAGTTAGAGATCAAGCTATAACATTTTCATGTGAAGTTTGCTGAAACCCAAATGACAGGAGGGCCCCACAAAAAAACAATTTTAAGAACATGACAGTTTGGGGGATGCCCGGGTGGTTCAGTCGGTTAAGCGTCTGCCTTCAATTCAGGTCATGATCCCAGGGTCCTGGGATCAAGTCCCGCATCAGGCTCCTTGCTAGACAAACCTCTACCTGCTGCTCCCCCTGCTTGTGCTCTCTTGCTCTCTCTCTCTGACAAATAAATATTTTTAAAAATAATAATAATAACAACGTGACAGTTTGGGAGATTGAGAAAATCACTCCTAATATCTAGTTAGAAGCCAAGAGAATTATCCAAATAATACCAATAATAATAAATATACATTATGATTATATATGATTATAATTATTAACAAAGGTTAATTATCCAAATAATAAGCTCTGAAGAAAAAATGGTTTGTTGAAATTCGGCTATCACCTATCAAAACACATTCAGGCAAGACTTACCCCTTTTCCTATCGTGCATTTTTATAAGTAGAAAATTTATAACAAGTCGGCTCTATAAACAGGTGGCTAGGAGAACCAAAAAAACCCAAACCAAAAAGCAACCTCTAATTTTCCCTGTCTCTGCTCTGACTACGAAAGAGCAATATCTGGAATATACAGCAGGGAAGTATGAGCTTAGAGAGACCATAAATTTGAACATTAGTTCCTCAATAATCACCAATAATACACAAGGCACAAAATATAACAAAGGTCAGGGTGATCCCCTAAACACCTGTTTACACAACCACTGATGAAGTTCCTCTATAGCAGCGCTTCTGAAGGAGTAACCAGGTCCTTAAAAATTTTATAAATAAAAACAAAAAAACCTTGACACCATCTCCTCCCTTCCTCTGCTGCCCCTCTGATGGAGAGCTCAGGGGTCCTCAAATAGAAAAGAAGTCTCAAGGGAGCCCTCTACAGAGAGCTCCAGAACTTTTACCACAGAAAGGGCTGGAAGGCAGCAGTTGGTTGGGATAAGGGGTATGTCAGGGACAGCAAGGGGGGGCGGGGGCGGAGACTTCACCGTGAAGCTGTATTTGCATAGCCAGCACATGGTTTTAAATCAGACTGCATGTTTATTAGGGCTGACTGCATCTTGGTGAAGATTTCGGCAGCAGGGTCCGAGTCAAGGTGCCAAGCCTTCCCTAAATGAATTCTGATAACAGAGTCTACTTTCGTGCTGTTATCTACAAACATTTTGGGAGAATGAGGCCCAAAACACAACTCTTCGCACTGGGCAGACAGAATGGCTTTCGCTGTGGCCCTGAGTTGGCGCTCATGCTGCTCACCAGGGTGCAGTGGGCTGGCTCTCAAGCCGGGTGGCAAACACTTCAGGAAGCCAGCTGGGCCAGGGTCACTCATGGCAAGAGAGAACCAACAACCCCATAAACATGCTTAGGGATAAGCAGGCCAGGGATGGGTCTGAAGTCACCTAGAGAAGGTGGGACTTGGAAATTAACTTTAAGTTGCAGGTCCCAGTGGAGGCCGGTCATTCAGGTCAGAACCACCCGTGCCCTAGGCACACGTCATCCCTGGTTCACAACCAGCCTCCACCTGCTGTTTGTGTCTTGGGCAACTGGTGACTCTCAGCTCTGCTTCAAAGGTTTACCTCTGAAGCAGTAACATGTTATCTAAGATATATGAGAAGGGACTAAGTATGTCCATGAGAAAAATGGGGAGACTAGGAATGTTCGAGTTGCTTCTATACAGGAAAAAATATTAAAAATCGCATCTGAGTAGGACAACTAGGGATTTGAGGCCGGCGGTCGTCACACTGGTCCGGCGCTTGTGTGTATACCTTTTTGGTTTTTTTCATTTTCTCTGTTAAGCATTTATTATTATTTTTAATCAAGACGTTTTTATTCCTTTTAATTATGTAAGTATCCAAATCTTTCAAGACTCATGAAAGAGGGTGCCCAAAATAGTTATTATTTTTAATATTTGATAAGAGATGTTCTTTTAAAAAATCCATACGAAAGCTGACAACATGACTTTGTGTCCTCTCTGCAAACACTCCAAATAAAAAGCTGGCAGTTTTGACTTCAGGGGTCCCCTCCCAACCTCCACAATCTATACAGGAAAAAACTGAAGTGCAGAGAGAACAAAAGCTTGGCTGGGCCAAACACAGAGGTGGACATTGAACCGAGGTCCGGGGGGTACCCCCTGCCCCACACTGTTCTGCTCCTCCACATGAGCACTTTCTAGTCCACAGGCTGGTGCTCAGGGCCCATCAGTGTCAGAGAAACTCATTCCCTCTCCATCTAATCACACTGATTTGGTCAACAAAGGCACTGGGAGGCCAAAGAACCAAAGAGGAATAGAGGTGGATGGATGGATGGATGGATGGATGGATGGATGGATGGATGGATGGAGAGACAGATGAAAAGAAATAAAAAATTTAGAAGGAAATGTTCCTTAACCAGGGTTCTAATTAAATGATGGAATTATGGATGGTTTTATTTTCTTATTATACATTTTTGTATTTTCCAAATTTCTTTGAAAAAAGTGTGTAATTAAAAAACTAAGAAATGTAATATTAAACACAAAGAAGTGACATTGATTGGCCTGAGATGGACAATGTCTACTGTGTCTGACTTCTCAGCATCTGTTTCAACACAACTGATGGGTCTGAACCAGCCATAATCAATTCCATTCCCCTCACCAGGGGATCCATCCGGGGATGGATTGGGAAGGGGCATGTGACCCAATCCTGGCCAATGAGACAGGAGAAGCCTAATAAAGGGCCTCTAAAAAGAAACAAGAGGTAAGTGGCCCCTTTTCTTCCTCGAGACACCATGATATTTTCAGATGATGCCACGAGCCTGAAGCTGAAGGACAGAACCAAGGGAAACTCAGACAAGTAGGAATGGAGCCTGGACGTGCCCTGGTCAGAGCCTACCTACCCCTACACATATCCCCACACGAGACAAATTTCCTTTCTGAGTTGGCTTCTCTGTTCCTTACAACCAAAAGCAACCAAATGTATACAGTTTTTGAAACTCATGTGCTGGGAATGTAGCGTCCAACATAATAAGCAAAAATCACTTAAAAGCCTCCATATTATACACGGAAGACGGGAGTTATTTGGTCTCCTGAGCATCCCTTAGTCACCTCCAGCAGTTCACTCTAGACCTCACTGCAGAATTACATCTGCACCTTTAACATTACTGTGAAGATATGTAGAAACATTTCCATCTAAAATGGTAATGCTAGGAATTCTTCCAAAAGGCCTTATTACATTCACGTCCATGCTTCCCACTCCACCGTCTCACATGCTACAAAAGGAGTAAACAAAACAAACAAACATCCTTAAATGACTCACGTCTCTGATGTAGTTCATCTCTTCTTTCAGCTGGTTGGTGGACCACCCGTAAACCACCATTTCCTTCTGCTCATTTGGATCCGATCTCCGCACCACGCCGTAGACAACACCCTGAGGAAGTTTCCTGGTTGGCTCCCCATTGCTCAGGTCAAGGTGCTTCGAGAAGGGAGAAAAGAGTAAAGAATAATGACTGTTTAGGCCTCGTGGGAGCAGCTGTGAGAAGGGGTGCACTGGGTCTGGGCATGCGGGCTGCGCAGGCACTGAGGCGCGGGTGGCAAGGAGAGGCCGGAGGAGACCCAGCCACTCACCCTTCTCCCGCTTGCACCTGGCCTGGGCTGGGCCAGCTTTTGCCCTAGAGGAAGGGCATCTTTCTCAAATTTCTACCGAAGCCCTATCCACCCATCTAAGAGTGCGTCTGCAGGGCCCCTCCGTCCTGGACGGGCGCCCTTCTCGTTCTCACGAAGGTGCCAGATGGACCCATGTCGTCCCTTCAGAATAAGAGCAAGTGTCTGCACTCTCACAGTCCTGGTGTCCTGGTTATGCTGCTTTTCCCCACGATATCAGTTCCTCTGGATACCTTCAACCTCATCGCTAAATACGACCCTTGAAATGCATGAGGTTGAGATACCGCGGGAAGAATGCTGGCTGCCCTCTGGCAGCCAAACTGTCCCGAGGGTAGGACTGACCCTGGACCAGCTCTGAGCAAAGGAGGGTGGGGGGATGAGTACACAACCTGTTGTGACCATTCATGAAATATTTCTGAAAAGCCAGGCAAAAGAACCTTCCAGCACCTTAATTCCTTCACCTAAAGCTTTGATCGGTGTTGAAATGCAAACGCCCTTGGGAAGGGGTAATAAATCCAAGTCCTAACACACCTTTATAGAACGAAGGCTCAAGAAGCCCCAGAAAGGGAAATTAAGATTTGTTCAGCTTCTACCATAAACCAGATACGTTCCTTAGCCCGTTGAATCTTTACAACCACTCTGGGACAGAGCGATGAGCCTCTCCGCTTAATAGCTGAGAAAACCAAAATTCAGAGGGGTTAAATAGCTTGCTTCCAGCCACATATCCAGATTCAAGGCCGATTCTCTGATACGAAGTATACCTCCCCATGCTGCAGGCTTTGTTAGGTGCAGGAGGCCAGAGTAAGAGCCCCCATGAGGGAGAAGGAAGGGCCGGAGAAAACCAGGGGCTGAGAATTCACAGACAAACCAACCCACATCCAGTCTCCCCTGGGGCTGACCCTGGTACCTTGATAATCACAGTACAGAAACCTGAATTCCATAATGGCAACTCTGCTCTCCCACTAATTTTTTATTTTTTTAAGATTTATTTATTTAGAGAGAAAGAGAAAAAAAACATGAGTGGGGGAGGGGCAGGAGAGGGAGAGATTCTCAAGCAGACTCTGTGCGGAGCCCGACTCAAGGCTCAATTCCACAACCCTGAGATCACAACCTGAACTGAAATCAGGAGTCGGATGCCCAACCAACTGAGCCACACAGGTGCCCCTCCCACTAATTTTTAAACCACCGTTGCATAAATTCCTTCCATGTACCTGCAAGATATTTTTGGCATACAAAATTGTAATTTGCATTTTATTGTATTTGTTTTTTAAAGATTTTATTTATTCATTTGAGACACAGAGATAGAGAGAGAGAGAGAGAGCATGAGCCGGGGGAGAGGCAGAGGGAGAGGGAGAAGCAGGCTCCCCGCTGAGCCAGGAGCCCGATGTGGGGCTCGATCCCAGGAAGCTGGGATCATGACCTGAGCCGAAGGCAGACGCTTAACCATCTGAGCCACCCAGGCGCCCCTGTAATTTGCATTTTAAAATCATTCATTTGGGCAGAATAAAAACTTTATGATTCCACTCATTTAAAGTTTGTCAAAGAACGGTCTAAAAAGATACATGACAAATTATTAATAGTAATGACCTCTAAGGAGGGGACAGTGTAGCAGGGCAGGGGTAACTGGGTATCAGAACATCTTTCAATTCTTTCTTTATACCCATTTGTATTGCTTGTCTGTCTAGGATTGGAGCTTTAAAAAAAAACTAGAAAAACATCCATTGCTTCCCACCCTTCGGTACATATTTGGCAAGAGATGGGACATGAGGGGTTGTGACACTCTGTATCTGCTTCCAGAAAATGATTCCGCTTGAGTCCTTGGTGCTTGGGCCCCACAGGCACTAAAGCAACTCTTGAAATTTGTATATAAATTTAGGTGGAGAGGCTGTTCCATGGCTCTTGGTGGAGTGACAAGCTGGGATTCCAGACGCCCAGTTTCCCAGACATAAAATTAGGAAGAGGAAAAGCTCTAATGCAACTCCCCGCATACCAGGCAACAAAAGCATGCTCTTTCAGTCAGACTCCACCCAGTTCCTGAAAAACAAGCTGATGAGGACAGGAGGCTTTGGTGAAAGGCATTTCTGCAAGTAAAGTCTTTCCCAGATGGACTGGGTTTCAGGAAAATGCTCAGGTGGCCGCATACAGAGGACTCTGCCTCCCTGCCCAGTGGAGGGACGAGGACCAGCAGCCGTGGAGGAGAACACACGCAATGTCCCAGACAACACAACGAGGTCTGCGAAACACAGCTCTAGACGTGGTGGCTCTAACGGTTATGCATGGAAAGACACTGAAGATCTGCGAAGTGAAAAACAGTCATTTCCATATTTTGGGGTTTTGTTTTTAACATGTATGTTTGTGTGCATAAAACATCTAGAAGGACGGAATCCAGACTTTTAATACCAGTGGCCTCAGTTGAAACGGGATTTCGTTTTTCTGCCCCTTATGCTTCTGTAGGTCTGATTTTTAGCCAGAAAAAAAAAGGGGGGGTGTGTTATCTTTGAATGAATAACTTTCATTTCAGTTTTCAAAAAACTAAAAAATTACTACAAAGCCAAGGATAAATAAAAGAGCCCAGAGAAGGGCCCGGCCCAGGACTCTGGTCAGGAGCAGGGCCGTCCTCATGGGCCGCTCCACACCGAGAGGGTTCCCAAGGCAGCATGAGCAGCCGCGGCACTGTCTATGAAGAGCGAGCAGGGGACAAATATTGGTTGTCTCTTTTATTACACAGCATCTTCTTTAATCCCCACAGTAACCCTACCACAGAAATATTATTAGTTCTCCCAAGGTGGCGACATTCAAGCGCCTGAGTACATCTTCCCAAATCTAAGCTCTTCCCTTTGACCACAAAGCCTTCAATAGCTACGAGTCAGGAGTGAAACGGAATCTCACGTCTCTATGTGGTAGCCCAGACCTCAGGGGCAGGGAAGCCAAGAGCCAGGGCCCCGGGCCGGTCAGGGCCACTGGGAAGAGGCAGGCTCGGCATGGGGAGGCTCCTGTCCAGCCTCCTGGGCTCCATCTTCCCCTATGCCCCGCCCCCACCACCTCCTTTCTGTTCCTTTATCAGTCAACCTCCTTCTTGTCACAGGGCATTACACGGGCCATTCCCTCTGTGTGCAGTGCCCACTGCTGGGCTGAAATGTCTCTCCCTCAAGGACATCTTCACTCTGACTGGTTAGGTCCCTACACCTTCACCACAACCATAATAGAGTGACTATTAGTATCATCCTATACGTGAGGCCTGCTCGCCCATCCACTGGGCCTTGTTGGTCTTCTTTTCCATCACAGTCTCTGACACCTAAGTGACTGACAATGAATTTCTCAATAAATATTTGCTAAATGGAGAGGGAGCTTTAGAAGTTGGAAGAAATTCTGGGGACTTTTCCAGATTATGTAAATATGGTCCAGCTGAAGGGAACATCCTCTGCTCTTCTTAGATGGAGGGACAGGGAGCTGATGTTTGCCCCGGTCGTAAAATCTCTATCCAGAGGAGTTGCAAAGGAGCCCAAGACTGCTATCGTTCTGACAAAATGTCAGTATGCTTTTGGTGAAAAACTGGAGAACACAGAAAAAAACAGAAAAAAGAGTTGACATGTTTAGCACGGTGTCTGTGGCAGAATATTTTTCCTCTCAGGTCCTTTAAAATATCTCCCTATAAGATAAATATTAGTTTTTTAGGCATGATAACAGCATTGTGCTTGTATTAAGAGATAGCCTTTATCTTTCAGAGAAACATGCTTAAATATTTATGATATCTGGGCTACAGGGTGGAGAAAGCAGATGAGAGTACAGACCAGGCAGGACTGAGCCTGGGTTGAGGGTTCTGGGGCTGGGTGAAGGGTCAGTGATTCATCACACCATTCAGTCTCCTTTTGTATATGTTTGAAATTCTCTGTAATTAAAAGTGGGTTTTTTTTTTAAACTTCTTTGTAATGCTGCTTGGTTGGTATTAAAATATCAAATTCTTAAAAATGTACTAGGCCTACGAAAAGCCTCCTGGGCATGAAACCATACGAGGCAAAACTGCCTTGAAAACCAAAGCCCTAACAAATGCAGAAAACAAAAAGAAAGTCAGAGCCAAAGAAGGGGAAAAGTACCAGCCAACTGAAAGGCATCCCGTAACCCATACGTGAAATGCAGCGGAATTAACAAGCGGAATCAGAGAAACGTACAGAGAATCTTGCAGTTAAACTGTTCCCTGGGCTGTACTCATAGCTGAAAACTTACTTACAGGCTCGTGCTGTTTTCCCCAGAGATGAATGTAGTAGAAAGTGCCTTAGAAAGAAGGAGAAACTACAGAAAAGGAACTTCACCTAAATTCCTGCCGCAAGGGCTTTCCGGCTGCTGGAGAGCTAGACCATATTTCCCAGAATATATGATCTTCCAGGAGATAAGCTCCAGAACGCAGTGACTGGATCTGCCGCATTCACTGCTTTATCCCCAATACTCAGCATAAAGAGATGCTCAATAAATACATTTTGAAGGGAGGAAGGACGACAGAATATTTGGAATTGGGTCTATGTCAGAAGATTTGTAGCATCTGGTCTTCCAAAACACTGATCTGTGCAAAGGAAGACAATCCTTTGGTCAAGAAGGGTTCTCAGCGAAGAAATACCAGAGACACACACAGTTTAACATAAATCCACACCAATGGTGGTAGCCTGCCACAGCCAGCCCGTGGCCCCAGAGGCCAGGACGGGCAGCCAGTCACCTGTCCGGTCTGCCAATGCGACTTAGATGGACCATTACATGAACTAAATGACATGCAAACTAGAAGCCAAGTTATTTCCAAAACTTCTTGCTTTGAACCTCTTC